TGTTGTTCTGTTGGTACGTTGTAGATGAGTATGAGGAAGAGTGTACCAACGATGTACCTATCCTATCCTGGCTACATTGTTTCTCTCCTGTGTGATTCCTGCCAAATTACTGGTATATACATTTTCCACTGTCTTTGTTTCTCTTGCTGTCTCCTCTACACTGGTGAACCTGGCCACACCCTGGCTACACCCTGGCCACACCTTGGCAGACGTAGAACACACACGAGGGAAGTGTTCTTCCTGGTGACACTAACAAGGTTCTCTACTTTTAAAGGGGTGGACTGGTAAGCCAGTGGAAGGCCTCGGTCAGATGACCAAAAGCTCCAGTGGCAGGTCATGATATGACTAAGACCCGCGTCAGGAAGCACTTGTCACGTTTCCTAACGAATTTTATCTAACCTAACTCAACCTAATTCTTAAGCTAAATATTAATTCAGTTTGTGTTTCTGTTGATGCTTAGCTCTCTCAGTATAGTGGCAAATGCTAGAATCTTCAAGTAAAATTGGTCAGGAAACAGCCAAGGGAGGTTTTGGTCATTTGACCGAGGCCTTCCACTGGCTTACCTCCAGTCTTCAGAACACTTAGCCTTCTTTTGGCTTTTCCTGACATGCCTGCCTGAATTTTCGTCACGTCTCTTATTTCTCCTTACACTCTTCTTCCCTCATGGGTAAGTAGGCCTACCGCATTTATAATCTTTTCTTGCTATGTGAACCTACTAAGAGAGATGTGTGACGGTAGAGGCTGAAGTTACACAGCTCCTTTCTCTTATCGAAATACAATTAGTTAATACCACTACTACTAAAACTACTACCACTATTACTACAACAACTACTACTACTCTTACTATTGCTATTACTACTACTACTACTACTACTACTACTACTACTACTACTACTACTACGACTACTACTACTACGACTACTACTACTACTACTACTACTACGACTACTACTACTACTACTACTACTACTACGACTACGACTACTAACTACTACTACTACTACTACTGCCACTAATACCACTACTCACCTCACGACTTCTCGTATTCTGTTTCCGCAGTCTTTCCTTTCTCTACCTCTCTGATTTTCCAATATCCTCGCTTACTTGTGACTTGACAATGATCCAGATGGAATCGCAACATGATCCAGATTTTCATCTCTAAAGATAAAGATTTTTATGAATTGTAAAAATACATAAATTGCTTTAATTAGTATTTTCATGTCAGAATTTTATTTATTTTTATTTCCTAGTAATAATTTGTTGGGTAACTAACTAATTTGTGGGTGAAAGCACCAATGAATAACTTAGCACCATGCGGGTCTACAATAATTGAAAATGGAATTAAATCCGCTAGTTTTATCTAGGAAAAAAATAGGTCTTTCGCTATTTATTCCCCTGGATCATCCGAGTCTTGTTACGTTGACGGGATATTGTTGATTGTTGCAATATTATTTCTGTGATATTGTTGATTGTTGCAATATTATGTCTGGAATATTGTTGATTGTTGCAATATTATGTCTGGAATATTATTTATTGTTGCAATATTATGTCTGAAATATTGTTGATTGTTGCAGTATTATATCTGGAATATTATAGATTGTTGCAATATTATATCTGGAATATTCTTGATTGTTGCAATATTATGTCTGGGATATTGTTGATTGTTGCAATATTATGTCTGGAATATTATTGATTATTGCAATATTATGTCTGGAGTATTGTTGATTGTTGCAATATTATGTCTGGGATATTGTAGATTGTTGCAGTATTATGTCTGGAATATTATTGATTGTTGCAATATTATGTCTTGAATATTATTGATTATTGCAATATTATGTCTGGAGTATTGTTGATTGTTGCAATATTATGTCTGGAATATTATTGATTGTTGCAATATTATGTCTTGAATATTATTGATTGTTGCAATATTATGTCTTGAATATTATTGATTATTGCAATATTATGTCTGGGATATTGTTGATTGTTGCAATATTATGTCTGGAATATTATTGATTGTTGCAATATTATGTCTTGAATATTATTGATTATTGCAATATTATGTCTGGAGTATTGTTGATTGTTGCAATATTATGTCTGGGATATTGTTGATTGTTGCAATATCATGTCTGGGATATTGTTGATTGTTGCAATATTATGTCTGGAGTATTGTTGATTTTTGCAATATTATGTCTGAAATATTGTAGATTGTTGCAATATTATGTCTGGAATATTGTTGACTGTTGCAATATTATGTCTGGAGTATTGTTGACTGTTGCATTATTATGTCTGGGATATTGTAGATTGTTGCAATATTATGTCTGGAATACTGTTGATTGTTGCAATATTATGTCTGGAATATTGTTGATTGTTGCAATATTATGTCTGGAATGTTGTTGATTGTTGCAATATTATGTCTGGAATATTGTTGATTGTTGCAATATTATTTCTGGAATATTGTTGATTGTTGCAATATTATGTCTGAAGTATTGTTGATTGTTGCAATATTATGTCTGGAATATTGTTGACTGTTGCAATATTATGTCTGGAATGTTGTTGATTGTTGCAATATTATGTCTGGAATATTGTTGATTGTTGCAATATTATTTCTGGAATGTTGTTGATTGTTGCAATATTATGTCTGGAATATTGTTGATTGTTGCAATATTATTTCTGGAATATTGTTGATTGTTGCAATATTATGTCTGAAGTATTGTTGATTGTTGCAATATTATGTCTGAAGAATTGTTGATTGTTGCAATATTATGTCTGGAATATTGTTGATTGTTGCAATATTATGTCTGGAGTATTGTTGACTGTTGCATTATTATGTCTGGGATATTGTAGATTGTTGCAATATTATGTCTGGAATACTGTTGATTGTTGCAATATTATGTCTGGAATATTGTTGATTGTTGCAATATTATGTCTGGAATGTTGTTGATTGTTGCAATATTATGTCTGGAATATTGTTGATTGTTGCAATATTATTTCTGGAATATTGTTGATTGTTGCAATATTATGTCTGAAGTATTGTTGATTGTTGCAATATTATGTCTGGAATATTGTTGACTGTTGCAATATTATGTCTGGAGTATTGTTGACTGTTGCATTATTATGTCTGGGATATTGTAGATTGTTGCAATATTATGTCTGGAATACTGTTGATTGTTGCAATATTATGTCTGGAATATTGTTGATTGTTGCAATATTATGTCTGGAATGTTGTTGATTGTTGCAATATTATGTCTGGAATATTGTTGATTGTTGCAATATTATTTATGGAATATTGTTGATTGTTGCAATATTATGTCTGAAGTATTGTTGATTGTTGCAATATTATGTCTGGAATATTGTTGATTGTTGCAATATTATGTCTGGAATATTGATGATTGTTGCAATATTATGTCTGGAGTATTGTTGATTGTTGCAATGTTATGTCTGGAATATTGTTGATTGTTGCAATATTATGTCTGGAGTATTGTTGATTGTTGCAATATTATGTCTGGAATATTGTTGATTGTTTCAATATTATGTCTGGAATATTGTTGATTGTTGCAATATTATGTCTGGAATATTGTTGATTGTTGCAATATTATGTCTGGAATATTGTTGATTGTTGCTATATTATGTCTGGGATATTGTTGATTGTTGCAATATTATGTCTGGAGTACTGTTGATTGTTGCTATATTATGTCTGGGATATTGTTGATTGTTGCAATATTATGTCTGGAGTACTGTTGATTGTTGTATTATGTCTGGAATATTGTTGATTGTTGCAATATTATGTCTGGAATATTGTTGATTGTTGTATTATGTCTGGAATATTGTTGATTGTTGCTATATGTCTGGGATATTGTTGATTGTTGCAATATTATGTCTGGAATATTGTTGATTGTTGTATTATGTCTGGAATATTGTTGATTGTTGCTATATGTCTGGGATATTGTTGATTGTTGCAATATTATGTCTGGAATATTGGTTGATTGTTGTATTATGTCTGGAATATTGTTGATTGTTTTGCTATTGTCTGGGATATTGTTGATTGTTGCAATATTATGTCTGGGATATTGTTGATTGTTGCAATATTATGTCTGGAATATTGTTGATTGTTGCAATATTATGTCTGGAATATTGTTGATTGTTGCTATATTATGTCTGGGATATTGTTGATTGTTGCAATATTATGTCTGGAGTACTGTTGATTGTTGCAATATTATGTCTGGAATATTGTTGATTGTTGTATTATGTCTGGAATATTGTTGATTGTTGCTATATTATGTCTGGGATATGGTTGATTGTTGCAATATTATGTCTGGAATATTGTTGATTGTTGCAATATTATGTCTGGAATATTGTTGATTGTTGTATTATGTCTGGAATATTGTTGATTGTTGCTATATTATGTCTGGGATATGGTTGATTGTTGCAATATTATGTCTGGAGTACTGTTGATTGTTGCAATATTATGTCTGGAATATTGTTGATTGTTGCAATATTATGTCTGGAGTATTATGGAAATATTAGACGAACTTGCTGGTCACATTACGATAGTGTTCAAGAGAAACATCTAATCTGTACGGGTTCAATATTTTTCGAGTATTATTTTTTTAAATTTCACTATTTTTCAAATATTTTCTTTTTCAGTATTTCAGTATTTTTAATATTTTTCAAAATCTGCATTTTTCGGATATTATTTTCAAAATTCCACTATTTTTCAAAAATATTTTTATAGCTTCAGTATTTTTCAAATATATTTTTCTCAAAATTTCAGCATTTTATTCAAAAATATTATTCTCAAAATTTTTACATTTTTCGAAAAATATTTTTTTTTTAATTTAAGCATTTCTCAATTTTTTTTTATTCTTTGAAACTTGTGAATGAGAGATTCTTGATTCCATATTCTTGGGAATACATGAGTAGGTAATAGGTACACGAATATTAGTTATGGAAAATATTACTCTCCTCCCTTACTATAGTTTCATTAATTAGGTGACTTTTAGGTTTCTAGTGGCCTTGAAATGTTCAACGCTGGTGAACTGTGAACCGGTGAACTGTGAACTGGTGAACTGTGAACTGGTGAACTGTGAACTGGTGAACTGTGAACTGGTGAACTGTGAACTGGTGAACTGTGAACTGGTGAACTGTGAACTGGTGAACTGTGAACCGGTGAACTGTGAACTGGTGAATTGTGAACTGGTGAACTGTGAACTGGTGAACTGTGAACTGGTGAACTGTGAACTGGTGAACTGTGAACTGGTGAACTGTGAACTGGTGAACTGTGAACTGGTGAACTGTGAACTGGTGAACTGTGAACTGGTGAACTGGTGAACTGTGAACTGGTGAACTGTGAACTGGTGAACTGTGAACCGGTGAACTGTGAACTGGTGAACTGTGAACTGGTGAACTGGTGAACTGGTGAACTGTGAACTGGTGAACTGGTGAACTGGTGATTCTTGCAACTGTACACATATGCAACTGCCGTGTGGTCGGTTTTTATGTAGACTATTCCAAGTTTTGATTACCCTGCAACAGCTTGAGAAGGCTTCTTTGGATAGTCTTCAAACCTTCAATACTCGTGTAGCTTACTCAGAAGATGATTGGAATTATTAGTGAAGTGAGTAGGAGTAGAATTTCCAAATTAATTCATAAAATTGTATAGTTTTAACTGTGAAATAACTCTTCCGATCGGATTCAAACTTATAAAAAGGGTAATGCCCTTTGGGTAGGTAGGTGCAACTCTGCCAGTTTATTAACATACATAATAATAATAATAATAATAATAATAATAATAATATAATAATAATAATAATAATAATAATAATAATAATAATAATAATATTATTATTATTATTATTATTATTATTATTATTATTATTATTATTATTATTATTATTGTTATTATTATTATTATTATTATTAGCATAATCAAGTGCTAAACCCTAAGGGTCAAGACGTAGTTAATAAATTTCGAAATGTTAGAATATGTCTAATAACTGGAGAATGCTTCACCTGGCAAGCTTCAAACTTTTTAGCGCTGGTGAGTTTCCCTCAAAGGGAGCCTCTCGTGGATTTTGGGTAGTGGATGTTTTCACTTGCCAAATTCTGTTAAGAAAACTTCTTTCCATCCAATAATGAAATGATGCACCACACCCACCTACCACCACTACCAGCATACCCACCTACCACCACTACCAGCACTACCACCACTACCACCACTACCACCACTACCACCACTACCATCACACCCAACTACCAACTCATCCACCTACCACCACTATCAACACATCCACCTACCACCACTACCAACACACCCACCTACCACCACACCCACCACAATACGCACCACTACACCCACTCTAGCAGAGATGCCTCACTGCATACCGCCCTAATCAACACCGTGCAACCAAAGCAAGGCACATCAATGCTTCACAACACACAAAATCTTGCAAAGCTTCCATCAGGACGCAGGAGACTAAACTGGTTCAGTAAACTGTTTACTCTCTACGACGCTGCCTCAGTCACTGATTGGCTCTGTTGACCTTTATATCTATCATATTTGTACTGACCTTTAATTAAGCATTGTTTGTCAAAGACTGTATATATACCGACCAAAAAAAATTATTTCTAGCACTGTATATATATATATATATATATATATATATATATATATATATATATATATATATATATATATATATATATATATATATATATATATATATATATATTACAAATAAAGATATGTGTGGAATTTTGATTCATACTCCATTTTTAAGCTAAATTTGGGTCCTAATTTAAATTCCAGTTCCATGTTACGCTTCAGCTCTAACTTGAATTCCAGTTCATGTTCCAAGTTACCTGGAAGAGGGTGTGGTGCAGAGTCACAATTGCCAAAGTCATTCTCAGGACAATAACAAGTTTGGCAAGTTTAGTGGTGGTAGTTAGGGTGGTGGTGGTCGTCGTGGTGATAGTGGTAGTTGTGGTGGTGAGATGGTATTGAGGGTTGTGATGGTAGTAGTAGTGTGGTGGTGAGGGATCGTGGTGGTGTTGGTGGTGGTTCAAGTGATGGCGAATGTGGTTGTAGTGATATCGATTGTGGTTGTAGTGATGGTGGTAGTGATGGTAGTTAGAAATAGGCAGACAAGGCTAGTCTTGATGATAACAACGAAAAAAGGACTAGATATACATATATAATTATTAGTATTTTGTGATAGAGAGAATGAGAGAAAGTGAAAACGAAAAAAAATCTTTCTTTCTCCTACATTAAGTATCACCAATATTAAATATTTTTATATATTTTATCACCTCAAAATCACTAAAATTTTACTGTGACTCATTAATCGCATCAATATATCAAAGAGAAAACAAAATCCCCCCAACCATGTACCATGCTGTAAAACTTCCATCACAGCTTCGTAAAACAGCAGTGACAGTCGTAAACCTCAAACAGAGACCATTACGTTGAAGACAAACACCGTGTTACCTACCTCAACCAGCTGGTCACAGGTGGAGCACACATACACTTTCATATATATATATATTATATATATATATATATATTATATATATATATATATATATATATATTTATATATATATATATATATATAATATATGTCGTGCCGAATATGTAAAATTGGTCAATTGCAAGAATCATTTAAAATTAAGTCCTTTCTGAAATTTTCTCTTATACGTTTAAAGATATATTTTTTTCATTAATGTTGATGTACAAATTTATAATTTTGCACCAAAAGGAACTTAGAAAACTTACCTAACCTTATTATAGCAAGAACAATTTATTTAGCCTAACCCAACTAAATATATTTTAGATTGGTTTACAATAACTTAATACTAAACAAACACAGTGAATATTATTTTTTTCGTTAGGTTCGATGATTTTGGCGAAATTATTGCATCACAAATTTTCACTTGTCCTATATGGCAAGATGAGCGTTGCTATTTAAGCCAAGATCGCAAGTTCTGCCTATTCGGCACGACATATATGTATTATATATATATATATATATATATATTATATATATATATATATATATATATATTATATATATATATATATATATATATATATATATATATACTCACATATTCCTCGTCTTCATCCAACACCTACTGGTGTTGTTTACATGTTGCAGAGGTTCATGAAGTGTTTGTGTTGCAGACACCGGTCTCGGACCTTGGCCTCCAGGGTGACGCTGATGATTCTCCACCTCACCATTGCTGACCTCCTCGTCACCTTCCTGCTCATGCCCCTGGAGGTACGTGCCCGGGGACACGGGTAGGGGAAAATGGGGGAGACTGGGCAGGGAAGTAGGGAAGGTGGTAGAGGGAAGAAAATGAAGGGAATGGATAAAGGTGGATAAGGATAATTTTCTTTTGGTACGGAATCAATGTATGTGTGTGTGTTTGTTTGTGTGTGTGTGTGTGTGTGTGTGTGTGTGTGTGTGTGTGTGTGTGTGTGTGTGTGTGTGTGTGTGTGTGTGTGTGTGTGTGTGTGTGTGTGTATGTGTGTGTGTTTGTGTGTATGTACTCACCTAGTTGTACTCACCTAGTTGAGGTTGCAGCACTGGTCCTAGGACTGACCCCTGTGGGACCCCGCTGGTCACAGGTGCCCACTCTGACACCTCGCCACGTACCATGACTCGCTGCTGTCTTCCTGACAAGTATTCCCTCATCCATTGCAGTGCCTTCCCTGTTATCCCTGCTTGGTCCTCCAGTTTTTGCACTAATCTCTTGTGTGGAACTGTGTCAAACGCCTTCTTGCAGTCCAAGAAAATGCAATCCACCCACCCCTCTCTCTCTTGTCTTACTGCTGTCACCATGTCATAGAACTCCAGTAGGTTTGTGACACAGGATTTCCCATCCCTGAAACCATGTTGGCTGCTGTTGATGAGATCATTCCTTTCTAGGTGTTCCACCACTCTTCTCCTGATAATCTTCTCCATGACTTTGCATACTATACATGTCAGTGACACTGGTCTGTAGTTTAGTGGTTCATGTCTGTCTCCTTTTTTAAAGATTGGGACTACATTTGCTGTCTTCCATACCTCAGGCAATCTCCCTGTTTCGATAGATGTATTGAATATTGTTGTTAGGGGTGCACATAGCGCCTCTGCTCCCTCTCTCAGGACCCATGGGGAGATGTTATCAAGCCCCATTGTGTGTGTGTGTAGTAACATTAGTATTCTTTATTCTCTTCTCAGCTCTTTACGCAGACAATTGAAATGTTTTTCAATATCCAGATATTAATTATCAGTCCACGTAACATAAAATATCTCCCGCCCCCATCCCTCGCCCCCCCCCGGGGTAAGACACTTTCTTGCCTTTCCTACCTCCTCCCTCCTTCCCCCACACAAGCTGTGTTCTGCTCTTACGGCAGTGTGACCAAGTGCTGTGCACAAATACTGGTTGTCTTACTGCATTGTTACCAAATGATGGTTGTCTTACTGCAGTGTTACCAAGTGTTGGTTGTCTTACTGCAGTGTTACCAAGTGTTAGTTACCTTACTGCAGTGTTACTAAGTGCTTGTTGTCTTACTGCATTATTACCAAGTGCTGGTTGTCTTACTGTAGTATTACCAAGTGCTGGTTGTCTTACTGCAGTGTCACCAAGTGCTGGTTGTCTTACTGCAGTGTCACCAAGTGCTGGTTGTCTTACTGCAGTGTCACCAAGTGCTGGTTGTCTTACTGCAGTGTTGTAGTACCAGCACCACCCTTCCCTCCACTTAAAAAGAGTCGCTAGGCCCAGTTCGCTCACTCGCTCAATCTTTCGTGCGCTGGCACCGTTCGTGCGTGCCTCGATAATGATTCCAGAGCATCCTTTTGTGTATATATTCTGGAGAGTATATCTCTCTTTTGATGTGTATGCGCTGACAGCAGCACTGTATATACGAAGAGGGATGTATATAAAGCTAATTGAAAGATTTCTGATATCAGGAATTTTGACTGATGGAGTACAGGTCGTGTGGTCGATAGAATTTAAACCAAATGAACCAAATACCCAAGCAACCAGTCAATCAATCAACCAACGAAGCAACCAAGCAACCAACTCTCTCAGCAACCAAGCAATCACGTAGCTTGACAACTAAGTGGACATGTTTGACCTTTTAATTACGACCATCTGGTTAAGGTCACTGACAGCTCCTTGATGTGCAACTCTTCACTACATTTCCTTTGATGTATAAACTAGACTCCAGCACATTAGAAAAAAATTCGACTTTCATTCCAGAAATATATATATATAATATAATATATATATATATATATATATATATATATATATTATATATATATATATATATATATATATATATATTATATATATATATATATATATATATATTATATATATACCAGGTGCCTGTCAATCCCAAAACTTACCTATTTTCTGAGATGCTCCCCAGCCTTCAGCAGTCCAAAACTCAAGGAATATGACTCTCTCCTGAAGGCCATGCTAGAGAGTGTATTGAATCTTTCCCTTGACGATGGACAGTGGTTGCAAGCCTCACTTCCGGTCAGGCTTGGAGGGCTAGGAGTACGCAGATCCTCCCAGATTGCTCTACCAGCTTTCCTATCCACTTCCATTGCATCAAACGAGTTGATAAGACAAATTCTTCCTGACACCCTCAGTGACTCAGCAGGAATAGAAGACCCTAGCTATGCCTGTGCCATCACCGAATGGGAGACTCTTGCTGCTCCAGCACCAAACCCTAGTGCAGCACTGGCTCACAAACAGTCAAGCTGGGATGGCCCAATTGCTGAAAAGGTGCTTGCCAACATGCTCAGGGCTGCAACATCAGATAGGGAGATTGCCCGTCTCCAGGCTGTGAGTGCACATCACTCCGGGGACTTCCTCCAAACAGTTCCCATATCGGCAATGGGAACGCGACTCGATCCTAAGACCCTCCATATTGCAGTGGCTCTGCGCCTTGCTGCCCCAATTCACACAGAATATATGTGTATTTGCGGCGAAGTGCAAGCAGACCAATACGGTCTACATGGTCTTAACTGTTTCCAAAACCAAGGGCTGGCATGCAAGACACAATGAGGTCAACGACATCATTAAGAGAACCCTTGCTACAGCTGGATGCCCTGCCGAGAGGGAGCCACGATCACTTGCAGCAAACAATACCCACAACCCAGCAAACCGCTCCGACGGGATCACCATCTATCCTTGGAAGAATGGCAAGCTCTTAGCATGGGACTATACCTGTGTGTCCACACTGGCTGACACCTATATCCATCACAGTGTGGGGCGACAGGGAGGAGCTGCTGACCACAGGGAGGAGTACAAGATCAGCAAGTACAGGGACATTAGCCAACAGTATCAATTTGTCCCAGTGGGATCAGAAACCTTGGGATCATGGGGAAAAAATGCCACACGTTTCCTTAAAGAATTGGGTTCCAGACTCATCGACACCACCAGGGACCCAAGGGCAGCCACTTTCATGTTCCAGCGCCTCAGCGTCGCCATCCAGAGGGGAAATGCTTGCTGCATACTTGGCTCACGTCCAGCCTCGGAGGAGCTGGAGGAAAATTTCATCATCTTTGATACATTGTGCCATTGTATTCATGTTTATGTTTTTTTATGTAAATGTATTTTGTTTATTAATAAATGTTCACATAGAATATATATATTATAATATATAAAATATAATATATATATATATATATATATATATATATATATATATATATATAATTGCCTGCAGCATTCTGGGTACGCGGCCCACCGCAGGGGAGCTGGACGAAGTATTCGAGATGTAGCTCTGAGTTACCTATGTTGTTTTACTTTCTGTTGTATTTTTGTGAATGTTATGGGCCAAATGTATTTGTCTTTAAATAAAACATACTTGAATATAGGGGGTGGAAAGGAGAAATTCTCAAACAGCTTCAGTAGAACCTAGAGTTTTCCCTGAAGCAAGTTTAAATTCTTTTTCTCTGAGATTGATGTCCCCCTAGGACAGTTCTAGAGGTGGTACCTCCCTAATATATATATATATATATATATATCTATATATATATATATATATATATAAATATAAAATATAAAATTATATATATATATATATGAAAGAATTTTTACTTTTCTAAATATTTTTTTATGTTTCATTTTAATTTAATATATACCAAGACTTTAGTATTTTTTCGTTTTACTCTTTTCTTTTTGTAATAATTTTTTTCTCTCTTTTTTTGTAATTTTTATTTCCATTTTTTGTGTATGGGAATTTTTAGTAGTTTTTCACTATTTTTTTTTTATATTTATTGAACTTTTTCCTTATTTCTTCTTCTTCTTCTCTACTTCCTTCTTCTTTTCTACTACTATTCTTATTATTATAATTTTTATATTATTATTATTATTATTATTATTATTATTATTATATTAATATTATTATAATTAATAATTATTATTATTATTATTTGTGGGTGGTTCGATCGGGTGGTGCGTGGACGTGTCCTGGGAGGCTGGAGATTTAGCCTGCCGCATCCTGGCCTTCTTCAGGACCTTCGGCGTCTTCCTCAGCGGGTTCCTGCTGGTTGCCATCAGTGTTGACAGGTAATACTCCGTGCTGCGTCCTCTACCGACATGGTAGCCAAAGAGGGTTTCGTCTCATGCTCTGGTAGCCTGGGGGGGCCTCAGGGCTCAGCTCGGATACCCAGGTGAGTGGAAATCTCCTATTCGGGTGCTTGGGGAGGAGGTCTGGGGAAGGGACGCCTCTGTTTGGATCTGTTAAACAAGGCAGATGAGTGCTGAAATTGTTCCGGGGATTCATAACAGAGGAAGATGCTGGGTTTGGCCGGGAGAGCTTCAGATGCGTGTGTTACATCGGTTACATAACACAGGTGGGCGCTACATAATACCTGGATCTGTTACATGTCACAGGAGGGCACTACATAACTCGGTTGTCGTTGCTTTCACGTTGCGGTGAAAGCAGATAATGATTATATATAATTCTACATTCTTCACATCATGTCCTTGTATTGATAAAGCCACTAGATGGCGAAACGTCTACAAATCAATATACCCAGATGCTCCACATGCGTCTAATTCTTCATCTGGTCGGCCTTGTAGACCGTTCATGTACATCTCAAACTCTGAACGTGTGAATGATTGCTCTTACAGTCAATAATACCACAGAATCTGAACGTGTGAATGATTGCTCTTACAGACAGTGATCTTCCACGTAGAGAGGCACCCTGACCACCCCTGGTTCGAGCAATGTGTCACTTTCAACAGTTTTCCCACGCCCACCTACGAACTGCTATACAACGTCGCTGGTTTCCTGGCTATGTAACGCCCTCCCTCTCTTCACCATCGGTCTTCTGCTCGCTCCATTTGTTTATAGTTCCTACAGGAAAGATGGTGAGAGGGCCAGGGGTGAGAAGGTGTGAGTGGGGAGTCGAAATGGTGATGAGAAGAGTTGAAAGAGGAGAGATGGGAGTCTAAGAAGATTAGGAAAGTATGTGAAGGGGTCGGAGAATGGTAGAATGTGTGGAAATGAGTCTACAAGAAGTTGGAATGTGTCAGTTAAATGTTGGAATGTACCTAGGAAAAGGTTCGACTCTAACCATTAGTGTGTCTAGATAACTTGGGATGTTGAAAAGGGTCTAGCATGGGTAGGAATGTAATTTAGATGGGGTTGAATGTGCTAGAAAGGGAAGAAGAGAAATAATTGAGAAAGATATTAGCAAGAAGCAAAAGAAGATAAAGGAGAGAAAAAGAAAGAGGAACAAGAAAGAAGAAGGAAGGAGAGAATCTATTATTTGCTGTTAAAGATTCTTCAAGTCTCCATCACCCTTCTTCCTCTTCTTCTTCTTCTTTTTCTTCTTCTCACGCTTAAAAGATTTATTTAATCTCATGAGCTTATTTGTAACCATCCTTCTCTTCTTCACTCTCTCTACGTCTTTCTCTCTCCTCTCTCCTCTCCTTGATCTCTCTCTCTCTCTCTCTTCTCTCTCTCTCTCTCTCTCTCTTTCTCTCCTCTCTCTCATCTTTCCCCCCTCCTCACCGTCTCTCCTCTCCCTCTCTCTCTCCTCCATCCATCTCTCTCTCATCAATCTCTCCTCTTCTCTCTCCCTCTCCACTCTCTCTCACATCTCTCTCTCTCCTCTCTCTCTCTCTCTCATTTATCCAAACACTGACCCATTTTCCTCTTTTTGTCCATTTTTTGTGCCTTTTTCCCCCCAGTTTTCTCTAGCTTTTTCCATATTTTTTTTTTTCTCAAATACATTTTCCCCCTTTTTTTTTCTCCCCCTTCCACTGACAATATTATTTTCAAATATTCTTAAAAATTATATATCTCTCAATATATATAAAATTTGCATAATAAAAATTAAACTTACATTATATTTTTTTTTCTGTAATATTCGAAGTGGTATTTTTTATATTAATTATTTCAATAATAATAAAGATAAATTTTAATGGTTAGTAGTAGTAATTAATATCATGATTAATATGATAACAGTAATCAATAATAGTTACTAAAAGTAATCCAATATCAGAGATAATAATATCTCCATTAAGTTATCACCCCTACCAGTACTACATTATCATGACTATCCAGTACACATTTATCATACTACCAGTAGTGTCTACAGTTATCATGACTAACCAGTAACTACAGTTACAGACTACCAGTATTATCTACAGTTATCATGACAACCAGTACTACAGTTATCATGACTACCATTACTACAGTTATCATGACTAACCAGTACTACAGTTATCATGACTACCAGAACTACAGTTATCATGACTACCAGTACAACATTAACATGACTACCATGTACTACAGTTCTCATGACTACCAGTACTACAGTTATCAAGACTACCAGTCCAATAGTTATCATGACTACCAGTACTACATTATCATGATCTACCAGTACTACAGATATCATGACTACCTGTACTACAGTTATCATGACTACCAGTACTACAGTTATCATGACTACCCATACTAGAGATTATCATGTCCACTACCAGTACTAACAGTTATCATGACTACCAGTAATCTACAGTTATAATGACTACCAGTACCACAGATTATCAGACATACCACTACTACAGTTATCAGACAACCGAGTACTTACAGTTATCATGACTACCAGTACTACAGTTATCATGACTACTACCAATTACTACAGTTGTCATGACTACCAGTACTAGGTTGTACATGACTACCATACTACTACAGTTATCATGACTATCCAGTAACTAACAGTTGTCATGACTAACCCAGTACTACAGATGACATTACTACCTTACAACCAGTTGTCATGACTACCAGTACTACAGTTATCATACTATCCAGAACTACAGTTTCATGACAACCCATTACTACAGTTAACATGACTACCGAGTACTACAGTTATCATGATCTACAAGTACTACAGTTTACATGACTACCAGTACTACAGTTTGTCATGACTACCAGTACTGACAGTTATCACATGACTACCAGTACTACAGTTGTCATGACTACCAGAACTACAACAGTTGTCATGACTACCAGTACAAAACAAACAGTTATCATGACTACCTACTACAGTTGTCATGACAAACCAGTACTAACAGTTGTCATGACTACCATACTACTGTTATTCATGAGCTACCAGTACTACAGTAATCATGACTACCAGTACTACAGTTGTCAATGACTAACCAGTACAACAGTTATCATGACTACCAGTACTCAAGGACAGTTATCATGACTACCATACTACAGTTATCAGACTACCAAAACTACAGTTGTCCATGAACTAGCCAGTACAACAGTTACACTACTACCAGTAATACAGATTATCCCTGACTACCAGTACTACAGTGTCATGATTACCAGTACTACAGTTGTCATGATTACCAGTACTACAGTTGGTCATGACTACCTAGTACTACAGTATCACGACTACCAGTACAGACAGATATCATGACTAAACCAGTACTACAGTGGTCATGACTACCAGTAATACAGTTAGTCCAAGATTACCAGTACTACAGTTGTACATGACACCAGTACTACAGTTGTCATGAACCTACCATACTAACATTTATCATACTACCAGTAACTACAGTTATCATGACTACCAGAACTTACTTATCATGACTACCAGACTACAGTTATCATGACAACCAGTAACTACAGTTATCATGACTACTCAGTTACTACAGTATATCATGTCTACCATACTACAGTTATCATGACTACGCCATACTACAGTTATCATGACTAACGCAGTACCACAGTTATCATGACTACTGTACTACATTATCATGACTTACCAGTACTACAGTTATCATGACTACCAGTACTACAGTTGTCATGACTACCATTAACTACAGTTTGTCATGACTACCAGTACTAGAGTTGTTCATGACTACCAGTACTACAGTTATCATGACTACCAGTAACTACATTGTCATGACTACCATACTACAGATGTCATGACTACCAGTACTACGTTTGTCATGACTACCAGTACTACAGTTATCATGACTACCAGTACTACAGTTGACATGACTACCATACTTGATCAGTTATCATGACTACCAGTACTACGAGTTATCCTGACTACAAGTACTACAGATGTCATGAACTACCATCTACAGTTATGTCATGACTACCAGTACTACATTATCAAGACTACCAGTTACTACCGTTTTCCATGACTACCATACATACATTTGTCATGACTACCATACAACAGTTATCATGACTACCATACTACGTTGTCATGACTACCAGACACTACAGTTGTCATGACTACCAGTACTACAGTTAACATGACTACCAGTACTACCAGTATCATGACTACCATTACTACAGTTGTCATTACATACCAGTACTTACAGTTAACATGACTACCAGTACTACAAGTTATCATTGACACTCAGTACTACAGTTATCAAGACAACCATACTAATGACAGCTTATCCATGACATACCATACTACAGTTATCCCGACTACCATTAATACAGTTATCAAGACTACCAGTTACTACAGTTTGTCATGTACGACCAGTAGCTACAGTTGGTCATGCTTACCAGTACTACAGTTGTCATGACTACCAGATACTACAGTAATCACGACTACATACTACAGTTATATATACCAGTTCTACCATTTTGTCCATGACTACCAATTACAAACAGTTGTCCATGATTATACCAGTTACTACAGTTGTCATGACTTTACCAGTACTATCAGTTTGTCAGACTAACCAGTACTACAGTTATCATGACTACCAGTACTACAGTTAACATGACTACCAGGTACTAACAGTTAATCATGACTACCAGAACTACAGTTAACATTACTACCAGTACTACAGTTATCATGGACTACCAGTACTACAGTTTACATGACTACCAGTACTACATGATTTGTCATGACTACCAGTACAACAGTTAACATGACTCCCAGTACTACATTTTATCATGTACTCCAGTACTACAGTTATCGTGACTACCATACTAACAGTTGTCATGATTACCAGTACTGACAGTTATCATGACTACCAGTACTACAGTTATCAAGGAAACCAGTACTACATTTAATCATGACTGCCAGTACTACAGTTGTCACTACTAC